AAGAACAGCTAAGAAATCAGGGTCGACTTGGGAGTAAAACCACAGGTAGCTGGTGAATGGCCCCTCCCATAGGAAATGAAAGAGGAGCGAAAGAGGAGCGGGCTTTTGCAGGAAACAATTCGTTCGTTCATTCATTAGTTCATTTCAGGAGTGTGAAGATCTGTCCGTGAATCTCAGAGACTCTGTGCCAAGTCTTTCCTTGCACAGCACTGCATTTGGAAAATATTTACATAGCAGCTTTCCAAGCTAGATAATGTCTGTGGTCATAACTTTACCTTTGAAAAACTGTTTACCAGGCCTTTGCTGAATGTGAATGAGAGAAATTCACATTCATTTAATAAAAGGGGTTTTGTTAGGACCAGGAATCTGCTTCGTGCTTTTTGAGGAAGCCTAGATCAGAACAGATATATATCACTATAGAATCCATCAACATATGCAACATAGTTTCAGCACATTTATTTCTGCAGGGCTCAAACCTGTTTGGCTTTGTACATGGCAATGGCAGGCAGAGGAGAATATTTGCAGAAGATATCAGGTTAGAAACATCTTGGCAATTCTTAGAAGCTGTTTTGCTTGAGTCTCTATAGCTCTGTTCCTGGATGTGTATTTTTAAATAAATAGGCACATTTATTTACTGACATGTGCAATGTAAACCTGAACAAAACCTAGTTGAAAATAAGTCTAATCTCATAATGAGCTCTAAACTAGACAAGTAATTTTGGGAGAGAAGATGTTGCCCAAAGGAAGGCATTTGTTTCAAGATTGTCTAATTTGTACTGAAATGAATAAAAACACGGTTTTATCTGAAAGTAGCCTTCTGAAATAGTGCTAGCTTGTGGTAGACTTAATTGGTGGTAGCTGGGTAACATTTTATAAAGTGATATCATTACATAATGGCTCTTAAACTACAGTACCTCAAAACCTCCAGGAGTTATAAATATATGCAACTCTATAAAAATATGTAACTCCATAATGCCACTGGTGAATCCATGCCAAAAATATACAGCTATTTCTACTGACGCTCAGACTGACCTTTAGTTTTCTAGGAAGGTGTTCAGATTTTTTTCAAAGGTAATGTCTAAAGATATGCTGATACCAGATGAAGGGCTTTTTGGGGGTGGCATGCCCTAAAAATTATAGGGGGCTAGTCAGTGGAATTTGTATTTCATTCTAATATTCCGAATTAGGAATTCCATTGCCATGCTTGTAGGAAAACTAGATCTTTATTATAAAGGTATTGAATGACAGTCATGTACAGCAGAATATCTGAAGCAAAATTATGAAAACCCATTCTTTCATATTTTTAGTTTCAAACAGCTGTCTGAAGAAACTTTCTAGTTCCCAACAAACCTCTTTATGACTTAACACTCCAGCTTGCCATTTGAAGCAGCAGGATGGATATTGCTGTGTAGAATTTACTTTTGTGAAAGTCCTTTAACCTATTTAAAATGGCAACACTTTATGTGAATTCCTGTGATGGTTTTTGCAGGCTTGAAATGCCTTCTTGGTAAAAGTAAAAGCTATGTACTGAAACTACAAAGTCTTATTCCTTTTCCCCCCACCAAAAAGTAGTTACCTTTGAGTGTAATTACAAGGATGCCTTTGAATGCGTTTCACATGATATACAGTTTCTGTGAAAGATTCATAAAACTGAGCTGTTGATTAATAAATTTGCAGATCATGCTTGGGTGAATTTATCTGACTTTGGGTATAAAACTTTCTCGGGATACTAGTAGCCAAAATAGCAGTGGGACAACAAAAGAAGATGGGGGAAAAATGCTACTTTTTATAGAGGCCTACTGTACCTAAGACACAAAAATTCTGATCATCAATAGATGATAGCAAAAAAAAAAAAAGTTTTTCTGTACAGTTTTGTTGCTATCTAGAATCTCATCTAGAGTTCCCAAATGTGGTAACTCTACTATAGACGTGAACAACTACTTTTGCGGGCTAACACTTATGAAAAGATTTCTTCATTTCACAACTTTTTCTACAATATTATAGAGAGGGAGAGATTATTTTTTTAATACAAGCAACGCCTGTAAAGTATGTATTATTTTTCAAGGGAAAATGAGCCATCTTGATGTTTTCATGTTAATGGTAAAAGAATGAAATAAGAGACGTGGGAGGTGATTGTATATTCTATTGAGCTCAGATAAGAACTCTTAAAACGCAGGCATTCTTGTAAAATAGCTCTCGGCTGGAAAAGTGCCAACTCAGCCCCAGGGGGACAATTTTATGTTTAAATCTTGCCTCTTAGAAAGAAATGGGGTGGAAGGGGCTTTAATTGGGTCAGCCTGTCTTCCATTGCTTCACAGCCAGGATAGAATGAACAACAACTGAAGCAATGTGTAGTCTGAATACATATTATAAAATTGGAGGGAATGGGGGGATATTTTTGGTTGAAACAGCAATAATTCTTATTACATAATTCATATCAATGTATTTGTTCCCTATCCCATTTTGAAAATTATTGACTGCAAGCTCTTTTTACATCTCAAAATGAAGTTTTCTCTTACACAAATGGGCTTGTTTCAAATTCTGGGTCTGCATGAATTCAACTTAACAAAATTATGCAAAATGTTGCTGTTGATTTCAAGCGACCTGTGTTTAGTTTTATGGCTTTATTGACTGGTTTGTATTTATTTATATTTTGTTTTCTAGATTTTATAGTAGCCAGCATCCTAGTATGGTTTCAGCAAAATGTAATGATATAATGAAAAGTATTTCTATAGAAAATATTAATATCTGATTGGCAATCTTTCAGAAACTCTGATTCCCGGTCAGAACAAACCTAAAAGCTCATCAGACTGACATAAGTCATTTTTTTTACCTTTCTGTGTGAAAACTGACCAGATTGGTAACTGAATCTTACTTCGACATTGGAAACAAGGTTCAGACAGGAAATTTAGGCCTAGAAGTAACAAATAAGTCAGAGATGTTGAAGAACTGCTTAACATAGTGATAATCCTAAATTTTGGCAATTCTATTGCTATATTCTCCTCAAACATGAAGTTATGAATAGACTTTAATAAATAATACTGGTACATTACAGTTGTTCAAATAATTATGATGCAATGGATTTATCCCAACTTCTATTGTTTTAAAGCTTATTTGTATTCTGTTTTTGTTATTTGTATCATACTATTTCTCTAAGGAACCTATAACTACATGCTAAGAGATCTTCCCACAGTATTCCTGATGAAAAGACACTTGGGCCAAGAGATTATGAAATCCTGGAGCAGGTGCTACTTCTTTGGAGCAGATATCAGCATCAAAATTAGATAAGATATCTAGGCTAGTTATTGTGTATCTGATCTCCCAGGATTTCATTTCATGTGTTCTTTCTCATACTAGGAATTGGGCAAGGATGAATATCATCTGATTTAACTAATTTAAGGTTTATTATACTTTTGTTTGCCACCCCCTCATGCTTTTATTTATAAAACGTTGAATATTAGCTTATCTTTCCAAGACAACAAGGTCATTATGCCCCTCATATATGGAATGGATAATGATCAAAATCAGAATGATGGATTTTCTACAATTTAAGTTGTTCCCAGCCAAGTTTTTACAATAACGAATAACATGATTTAAAACAAATAAAATTATAATGAATAATAAGCTATGGAAAAATACTCCCCGCCTTTGCTAGTCAGCTTTAGGTTTGATTCTTTTCCCCTTTATTTTCAGTCCAGGAGACCACATCTCATTATGGAAGGTATAATATGAACAGATGGCTTCTTTACATGGAATCAAAATATGATAAAGTCCAAATGGACTAACTTACAGTACAAACACATAACACTACTGCAGTGATTTGCAGCATCAATGAAAAAAATGCTTAAATGAGGGGACTTAGGAGATCTAGTAGTAAATTGGCTTCTTCTGTTTGTTTCTGTATTGGAAAATAACTTTATCTTTTTGTTTCTCCTTTCTTTGATGAGCGTTCAAAGTTTTTAACAACCCCCCTTTCCCCAAGTTATGGTATAAAAGCAGTAAAGCAGTCTAGCCATCTGGGTTTGCAATCACAACTGCAACTAGCTTTTAACTGGCAGGTGTTTGTTCATCTGAACCATTAAAGCAACATTGTCTGTATCCTGACCAATAAGACGCTGAAGTATTCCCCCCCCCCAATCTATTAATCCAGCCTTACCAAAACTAATGAGACTCACCAGTATGAAACCTTATCTTAAAATAACTGTAGTGCAATTATTCCCTGGACAGTTGGACAGCACAACCCATGGCATTATCTATCATTTCAAACAACAAAGTAATTCACTCCCTCACTTTCAGTATCATTTAAAAGCGTCACTTTTCATCTCTAATTGTTAAAAGCGCACAGTAGATTTTGTAAGCCTTCTGTTTTTTTACTCTTTGCAAGTTTACTTATTAGAAAGGCAGATTATCTAAACATTGGCATGTGCCATCCTCCGTCACTTATTCAATTTCTCTCTGCATATATATTTATATTTGCAGGTTCTTAGCCATAGTTCCACTGAAAGTTGGAAGGTGTTTCTAGATGTGAGGTATTCGAAGAACAAGGTGAAGAACAGAAATATGAAAAAATGATAAATGCTTCTGGACTTTCACAATATTTGGTAACCAAGGCAGCACAACTGCTTCCAGTGAGGCTTTTATAGAACAAGGTCATCTTGCCTTACAAATACCAAGAAAGACACAACAATCATTTTCTTGTTCCTGTCTCAGATTTCATTCTTTCCTTTCACTAGTTGCTAACAACTGCCCTGTATATTTTTAATGGCTTTGAACAACATATCATTTCTCTGTGTGACAGGGTCTAGTAACTTCACTTCTTTCCTGGCAACCGGAGCAGAAGAGGTGGTATTTCTGATATATATTTTTATAAGCATCATTTTAAGCTCATGCCCTTAACCTCTCACTATTAACTTGGCAACATGGCCTATCTTACATTTATTCAGAAGCTATAGGCCCTTATTTCCAAACATGTGCATTCATAATTTGAGTCTTGGCCCTACCTTTGTAACGAGGAGTGAACTGTTTCATTGCTGTTGGAAGAGCTTCGTAGAACCATTGCTCCTGAGAGACCAGTGGCTTACAGACAGTGCAATCATCATACTTCATCATGCTCATATGTCCTCCAACCTGGTGGATGAATGGTTCCAGCATGATTCCTTTCCTGGTTTCCCCGATATCCAGATTACTCTGCACCACCATGATGTAACCAGAGATATTGGAGTCTTTTTCTGTCGGCTGTTGCTGGGTCTCCAATGGAGGAGCCACTGTCTAACTAGGATCAGAAGGTGTCTTGAGGTTTTAATGCCAGCAAGTAAACTCAGCGATGAAACATATATGCCCCTTGGCAGTTCAATAATCCTTTCAGAAATTTTCTGCACCCCAGAGTATAAATTCAACAGCTGAGGGGAAAAAAAAAGCAAATGGCATCATTCCTTCTCTTGTAACACATCCACTTATCCACTCCAGTGCTCTTGTTACAGTATGTAACATCTAGTACTCTGGCCCATAACTTTGCACATGTTAAGTTGATGTATTCCTAAATTTGGGGAAAGGGTGAGGTATTTTCTGGGATTCCAGATCTGAAAGACTAAAATGGATTCTAGTTAGATTGTATGGATAGCAGTGTCTGAGTAAAAAGATAAGGCAAGTTAAACTAGAAGAGCTATCAGGCTAAAATGGCCTCTCTGACAGCAGCCTAATTGAACATCCCAACAGCCATCTAGCACTAATGTATTAATAAGGGGTTCCTTTTCTCTTCTTGTTAAAGAGATCCAGGTTGAGGAAAAAATGCTCAATTTGTTTACCCAAGGCTTCTCCCAACTGGCTTTTCAACCTTCATTCATGGAGCCCTGGAGCAGAATGTTCCCTACTAAGAAGGTTATTAATATTGCTCTGTGAATAGTAGCCTCTGGTCTTTAACAATATAGTGTTAGTAAAAGGGATATTCACCCTTCCTTCAGGGAATCATTTTACCATTACACTATCCATCTTTCCAAAAGACACTTGAGATCAGAACATTCCCTACTTCAGCACTAGGACTTGGGGTGGGGTTTTCTTTCTTCCTATCCCTCCTGAAGTCACATCAGGGCATTTTATTTTATTATATTATTTATTATTTTGTCCATATAAATTAATTATACATTTTGATGTGATTTCAGGAGAAAAGGGAGAAAAGAAACTACAGATATCTTCATGTTAACAGATATAAAACTCCTTTAAAAAAGAGATAGAGGCCGGGGAGGTGGGTTTCGACCGCTCCTTACTTCTTACAGCTTACTTTATATAAATTCAGGATTCATCTTTTATCCAGTTGTGTTTATACCACAGATATTCATAACAGTTCCTCTATGACTGACAACCTGCTCAATTTTGGTAGAGTCCCTCTCTTTTGCACACATCACAACAGAAAGACTGGGTTGACATTTCCTACCAGGTTATAATGTAGTTTTCTGTACTGTGGCTCACAGAGATGGTTGGGGCCTACTCAATAAACTAAAAAAGATTTAGTGCAATATGTGCAATAGGTCAGGGTGTCCTTAACATAAAGCTAAGGGCATAAGAAACAATATTATATTGCTATCTTTCAAAGTACCTAAGGCATAGCCAATAAAGACTGTGATCATACCATACATATATTGTGGTTTTATGATAGAGGATAGTAGATACTACAGAGCAGAAGACATTGTAACATGATGTGACCTGACTTACACTAAATTCTGGAGAGAACTCTGAAGAAAATCAATAGAACTAGGTGGGACCATGGTACCTGCATCTTCATTTGACTCAGGGTCTGGAATAGCAGCAATGTCTTCTGGCTCCATATTATCACTTAATCCATTACAGTAGTCTGCAGGCTGTTTCCAAGCCTATTTATTGTTGTCCCCAGATTTAAGATTATGGCACTGAAAATTGACAGCAAACTGCTAAACAACAACATTATGTCTCCTGCCAATTTTCAGTGGGAAACTCTTTACACAAACAGTAGTTATTAGACTCAATGGGTTTATACGCAGAGAAAACTTTAAAAAACAAACAGGAAACAGCCCACCCCTTTGTCTCTCTGCTCTTTCCAGTAATGTTATTATGTCACTACCCTGCCTGCATATCTTTTGGCTACCAAAATAATAAAAAATGCAAAATAAGACTTAGAAGAACACATGGCAAAGAGGATTAAGAAAAAGATCTCCAGGTATTTTGGAATAGAAAATTGGTTAGAATGATAGTTGGACAATTGGAGCATTATAAAAGTACTAAAGGGGGATAAAAGTAATAGCAGAGAAACTGAATGGGATTCTTTATTTCTTTCTTCACTGTGAAAGATGTAGAACAGATTCCTGTGCTTCAGCTGAGGGAAAGCAGGACAATGGATACTAATAGTCATAATAAGAATTATAACACAATATGTTATAAATCAGATAAGCTAAAGATAGACCAATCCCAGGGCCAGACAGCACTCAAGAATTCTTAAAGAACTTGAATATTGAATTTTTGAATTTTTCATAAAAATACTCAACTTCTCTTCAATATCAGAATCCGTTGCCAAGGTCTGAAACAGTCAACGTGACCTAAGTTTTCGAAGATAGATTTATGGGTGGTAAAGGAAACCAGTTATGCTAACATCTGTTTTCAGGAAAGTATTTTAAAGTATTATTAAAGAGAAAATAACCAACATAGAAAAACAAGCCTTTCTGAAAAGAAACCAATAATTTCGGCAAAAGAAAATCTCGTTTCACTTATTTTCTAGACTTTTTTTTAGGGCATTGATAAGCATGTAGGCAAAGTGTTATTGTATGCCTAGATTTTCAAAAACCATCTGACAAAATTCCTTAGCTAACTCAGTTGTCATGGAATAGAAGGACAAATACTTTCATGGCTTGGCATTTGAATTAAAAAAACAGGAAACAAGAGAATGGGAATAAACAGGTCACACTGGTGAGATACACATACAGTAATGGAACTGCTGCTTTTAAACTTGTATATAATTTGTGAAGCGCTTTGAAGGGAGTTCAAGCTTGGGGATTGGGCATGAAAATGGCAAATGCAATTCAGGGTAAAGTAGAGTAAAGTGCGGGACCATTGGCACGGCCTAATCAGGAAAAGGATTTTGCAGTCAGGATGGACAGCATAATTGAAAATGTCAGCCTGCATGCAGCCGCTGTAAAAAAGGTAAACTCCATGCTTGGAATCTTTGGAAGGGACGTGAAAACAGAATTGCCAATATAATTCTGGTCTTAAATAACACTGAAGTGAGATCATGTTTGGAGTATTGTGTACCAGACCTATGGGACGCTATGTTTTCAATTTGGAAAACAAGATAAACATCATACAAATATTAGGAAAAAAATATGATTTTTAACTAGCAGACAACAAGAATGTATGAAGTGGATTCTGGATGTGTGCTGCAGAATGGTTTTTACTTACAGGATTTAAATAGTACTGTTGCAAGCATGTTATGTTAAATTTGAAAGCACAAATTAGAAGTTTAGTTAAGGAACCTAATCAAGGCAAGTGATTTTCAAGAAAATTTGCTCTTTAAACTTTTCTTCAGCTTTTTAAAAAGGTTTTGCTGCCCTTACAAGTGTCACTTGAATACTGGGGCAAATCTCCTGCAACTAAGAACATGCAGCAAAAGGTATTAAAACACTCTCTGCTAGCAACAGTAAAGGAGGCAGGAGTCCCTTTTTAACATCTTCTAATGTTACTGTTGTACAAAATTCTTGTTTTTCATTCCTGTCCTCATAGAGACTAAAGATTACAAAACTAAGGTAAGTGACTTAACTATATATATTTTCTATATGGTAAGGGTGTTAAGTATACAACTTTTTAAAAGCATATATATATTACATGTACATTTGGTTTGGACAACAATTGGATTTCTCTGAATTACTGAAGCTACGCAATTTTCAAATCTCATTGATTGAATCAATGACTAGAAATTGTAGGAAGCTATTGAACCTGCTTTCAGTCAATGTGTGCTTTTCTACAGGCAATAAGACTTGTTTATTTATTTGTTTGCTTGTTTAATTTTTATGCCACCCATCTCCCTTACAAGTTGACTCTTGAGTTTTGCTAATAAATTCAAAAAAATGATAATAATTTGTTTTGAGGCAAGGAAAATCAGTAGCATCCTTTCACAACCTATGTAACCTGCCCATATTAAATGTATTAAGGGCATCCTCTTTGGAACAAGGCTGCCCATTGCATGATTGGTCTGTGGGGAAAACATTAAAGGCTGGAATCCAAGAGATCCTGAGTTCTAGTCCTACCTAGGCATGAAGGCCAACTGGGTGACTTTGGTCCAGTCACTCTCTCTCAGCTCAACTCACTCACAGGGTTCTTATTGTGGGGAAAATAGAAGGAGGGAGGATGATTATGTACATTTGCTGCCTTGATTTATAAAAATAATGAACATATGCATTTATAAATAAATGCATAAACAATTATTGTCATTATTGTGAAGTGGTTAATTTTAACAGAAACATTGCAAAGAAACTGTGCCAGTTTAGAATGAAACAAGACTGACCGTCAGCCCTGACTACTCCCTGATAATTACATTCAATGGCGAAAGCAGAATTATCATACAGGAAGCTGCAAAGTAATTTTATCTGGCTTGGGAGTTAGATGTAATTACCATTATAGTCAGATTTTTAGAATATGCAATTCCCAAGAGTAACTTTGACAGGACTGTTACGCATTCACATTTCTTCTCCCAAAGCTCCAATTTTCAAGATCACACAGGGTAATACTGAGAAAAGGGAACCAACCGCTGGCTCCAAAGATCTAAAAATAGTTGACTGGTGCAATCTGCTTACTTTTCCCTTTGTGCATTTCAGTTTCCCATTACAGCCACAGAGTTATATATACGCATACGTCTCCCTGTTGATTTATACCTGCATTACTTAATGTCTGATCAACAGCTGCTTATAAGATATGGGAAGAAAATTGCTTAATTTTAGTATACTCTTTACTATTTCCATGTGGCCATTTCTTGCATGATGACTAGATGCTGTATTATCCTTCGGTGTATTTCTAAATCTGCTTTTGCTCCTCTTTCCTCATCTAAAAGAAAAACTATCTTTGGTGACAAGAGCATTGCTAATGAAAAGCTCCATTCTCTGCAAGGAACCATGTTTCAGCCTCAATGCCATAAATCCTTGTTTGCACAAACCCCGAGCCCTTTTAATCTTGCATTTCCTTTC